GCTAGACGTCATATCTGGATTCTATCACATTCCACTGGATAAGGAATCGCAACTAATAACAACATTTATAACGCCATTTGGTCGCTATGCCGATGGGAATCACTTCGGCAACAGAAAGGTTTCAAAGAAAAATGTTAGAGATTTTGGAAGGACTAAAGGGAGAAGTCAATGTAGCAGATGACACATTAGTATTTGGTAAGAACAAGGATGAATACGACTCTCGTTTGAAGGCCGTGCGAACACGTTTCCAAGAAAAAAATATAAAACTAAACAGAAACAAATGCAAATTTGGCAAGAAAAAAGTGACATTTCTAGGCCATAGCGTTTCAGATTCAGGAATTGGAATCGATGGAGAGAAAATTCGAGCCATTTTAGACATTCAACCCCCAACGATATAAGCGGAGTTAGAAGAATGATGAGCTGCATACAGGTTAACACTAAATTCCTTCCAGGATTAGCGGAAATGTCTGACCCCATAAGACAACTGTTACGAAAAAACAACGAATTTATGTGGGCAGAGCCTCACCAACGAGTATTTAAAAGCATAAAAAAAGATCTTCCGACACCTCCAATTTTAGCACATTTTGCTCGAGAACGTCCAACAAGAGTCATAGCGGACGCCAGTTGATATGGATTGGGAGCAGTCCTGGAGCAAATAGATAAAGATGTCTGGAAACCTATCGGCTATGCATTCAGGACAATATCCGACACAGAGAAACGATATGCGCAGATAGAGCGAGAAACATTGTCTTTGACTTGGGCCTGAGAAAAATTCGCCCATCAATATACCTTCTTGGTCAAACATTTATGCTCCTGACTGACCACAAACCCCTAGTGGAACTTCTAGGAAGCAAACAATTACCTGATCTATCATCTAAAATCCAAAGATTCCGAATGAGATTGATGCGATTTTCGTATGATGTATAGTATATTCCTGGCAGAAACATGATAATGCCTGACCTATTATCCAGAGCTCCACTAAAATCCAGTGATCATGGAGCAGATATTTTATTCGTCAACGAACTCATAGAAAAAGTGGAAGATTTTGCAAATCATATTCGTGAATCAATGCCTATCAAGGAGATGCGCATAAAAACTATCTTGGAATGTCAGAAGAATGATGTTCAAACCAAAAAAATAATAACCTATTTACAAAATGGTTGACCACACATCAAGGATTTATCAACCGAAGATAAAGTTTTCTACCAATATCAAGGAGAGGTGGTTATATTTTTAGCGTAGTAACCCGCAACAATAGAGTATTCATCCCGACGACATTACGCAAGGAAATATTGGACAAAATACACGAGAGTCATTTGAGCATGACAAAATATTTAAGCCTAACCAATGAAACGGTGTGGTGTCCCAAAATCTCGAAACAAATAAAAGAAATTCTAACCAATTGCTTAACATGCATTCAATACAAAATACAACAATTGAACCAATGATTCCTTCCTCTGTGCCAGATTACCCCTGGCAGATCGTCGGAGTTAATTTATTCGTGGCCAACAACAAACATTCGGGTCTATTCTGTAACTCAAATCGAATCGACAATCGAAAACTTGAATCGATGACTATATAGTAATGGATGTTGGACCTGAACCTAGAACATACATTATCGCCGCAGAAAATAACGTCAGACGCCAAGTTATAGAAGTAGCCTTAGAAGCGATGATAAGAATAGAGCAAAGGACAGATACTCGACTAGAGATGTTCAATTGGGAACTCCCCGAAAGTTGCAATGATGAGTCAAGCTCAGAATCAGAGGGTGACGATGGAGGGGATGATATGAACACAGTATACGGTACAGCCGCATCACAAAGCAGTGGACTAGAAATTGAAAGCAATAGCTTCGAAAGTGACAACGACTCCAACAACTCCATAATATCTGAGCCAGTCTCCGAGGAGAAGACCGAAGTCTATAACTCCACTCACCAGAGATACACCACCAGATCAGGAAGACTAGTCAAGCCGGCACGTCGTTGCACCTGCAAGGGAATGTGTGGTGAAGATTACTTAAAACAAAAGTGAGAATGAACATTGTACAGTGTATCTAGTGAATTAGTGTGTAGTTTTATCCATAACATTAATATACCCAGTGTAAATTGGACAAACAATGATTTAAGGCTATTCGCGTTAAATTCGACTCGAGTGCTAAGTTAAAAAGACACTCGCTTGGTGAAAAGGGAGGATTTGGCATAAAGAACTTGAGCCGGTAACGCCTTCGGCCCAGCAGTTGATATCAGGTGAGCGTACCACAGGCTGCTACAGAAACAAGGTTATTAGAGAATAAAAAACGAAGTACCACCAAAATAAGATTGAATATTCTAGGAATAATCCAAAACTATTATGGGGTTAACTCAATAACTGACAGAAATAAGAAATACATTGACAGGGTTAAAATTGACGAAAATATTAGCACATCACCCCAAAGGATATGGCAGAAAAACTTAATGTGTTCTTTATAGAGAGTGTGAATATCATAGTGAGTAAGATAGGATGTGGTAGAGTGGATGGTTCAACTGGGGAAGTTACGGAGGAAGGAATTGAACAGAATCAGTTGCAACAGTTGAGTACTTTCAAGCTGATTGACATTAAAAAATTGGAACATATTGTTTTTTCATTGCCAGATAAGGGAAGTCCGGACGAGATTGCATCTCAATTTTTGAAGAATACTTTTCAGTCAATTGAAGATCTTCTTTCAAATTTTATTAATTCATCTTTAGAAAGCTGTCCACACTGAAGGTCTCAACAGTGATTCCAATTCAGAAAGTCAAGGGCTCCATAGAGGCAAAGGATTTAAGGCCAGTAAATATGTTGCCTGCCACAGGAAAAATATTGGAAAGAGTGGCTTATTGACAGTTGCTTGATTTTATTATCCCTAATAATATCTTGATCGATAATCAATCAGCCTTTAGAAAGAAACATAGTTATGAATTTGGATATCCTGATAAATAAATATAAGCAGTATGAAATAGTGCAGAATGCATTAGAATGGCTAAAGAATTATCTGGAAAATAGAAAACAGGTAACAAGAGTAAAAGGAGAAACGTCTCCAGACCTGCCAATCACAGTGATATTCCGCAGGTAAGCACTTTGGGACCCTTGCTGTTCCTCTTGTATATTAATGACATTGGGGTGGCCATAAAATATTGTTCAGTTATTTAGTTCATTTGTTTGCAGATGATACACTCATATATTTTTATTCAAAGGATTTACAATGTTTGGTTAATAAAATTAATTTGGATATGAAGGAATTCAGTAAGTGGTTCGATTCAAATTCGCTTAAGTTGAATAACAGCAAGTCAAAATTTATGTTGATCGGGAATTTCAGATATCAAAATTAATACAGGGCAGGTGATTTTCACATATTGATGGAGCAGAATAAAGTCGAATTGGTGGAGGGTTCAACTGTGCTGTATCTGGCGAACAAGAATGATATAAATAAATTACAAAAATTGCAAAATAGAGCCATGAAGATAATTTTGGGAGAAAGAAGAGATATACCTATAAAATTAATGTTAAATTATTATTATTAAAGTGGCTTTCTAAAGAAAGGTTTCTGGAATTTTAGGTGTTGGTGTTTATTTACAAAATAAAAAATGAGTTAGCGCCGAACTATTTGACTGATAGACTGGTCACTAACAATATAATTCATGACTATCCAATACGAAATAAGGGTAATTTTTATGTTCTCAGGAAAAATAAAAGTTGCTCAGAAAGGGCAGTCTATCATAAGGCGTTAATTGCCTTTAATTCATTGGACAGTTGCATAAAGAACGCAGGTAGTCTGCAAATTTTTGAAAAAAGATTAAAGAGTCACTTGCAGGGTGATGACATGGTTGACTTTTTTTCATATTTTTGTTTTGTAATTTTCTGTTAGGGATTTTAAGGAGTAGGGTATACACTTTATAATATATTGGTTTTTCTTTCCTTTGTGAGAAATTAGCAAGGACTTGATGGTAAGGAGATTTTATATGTATGTAAGAATTTGCATGAAACTTTGTTTCTTTCCTTATCTGGACACATGCACATATCCTCCTTGAAATATTTATTTTGCATGAAGGTATCAGATTCAAATTTTACTTGTTTAGGGCCAAATTATGGACCAACTGGTAAGTGTCTGGTTGTTACCTAGCAGGTACTTTCTATTTTCTAGTGCATACAAAGTACCTGCTAGGCAACAACCAGACGTTTACCAGTCAGTCCATAATTAGGCCCTTAAACTCGCAAGTCTGCAATGTAAGTGAATAGTTCTCGTTGAATGGATTGCTCAGAAACTAAATGATAAATCACGGGGGCCGATACTTTTGCTCTCGATTAACGAATTTGATACGTCGTCAAAGTTTTGCATGGGCCAAGGTCTATAAGTATGATGTGGTAAGAGCACATTCAAACCCCTGATTATTTTTAACGGCTGTCAAATAAAAGCAAAAGTACCGGCACCAAAAATTATAGTAGATCACAAAACTAGTCACGATGTTCTCAAAAAAGTTCGAAATTGCCAATCAACTATTCGCCAAAATAGGTAATAATGCATGCGCAGAGGAAAATTATAAAGAGCTCATTCCAAATTAAATGTCTCAGTTACGTTAAATATACAAAGTTGAGGAAACTTAATTATATGGGATGCTTCTGCCAAACCAAACGTTTATGGTTATGAAAAAGCGAACCTGATGGTTTTAAACTATCTGAGAAAAGACAACATATTTGAGTTGTGCGAAAGCATCAAGTATTCACAGGCTGAAAACTTTAATTATTGGAAATAGAAAAAGTCATCTCGATGCAATGTGTCATGCATTTTCTTAACCTCAATATTCGGTGAAAAGAAACAAAATCCCAGTGCTAGTGATGCCACTCTAGCCCCAGCAGTTTTATTCTGTGGACACTTCCAAGGTTTAACACTAGGTACATATTTCTTTGACACTACGTAACAAATTTAAATGTAAAGTTGCCTATTATTCCAAAGTTTGTGAAGCCTATGATTCTAGTATACTTACTTGAAAGGATGTCCGTCTCCAGTTTTCTGGATCGCCTGCACGATGTTTTTGTAGATTTTGAAAGCGACGGTGCCGGTTAGAAGTAATAAGGATAAGTAAGCAATCACGCTGATTACCGAGACGTAGGTAAGTGCAAGCAGGATGAATAGTACTCCGCCGAATACTGCTGCGGACTTTCTCGGGTCTTCCCAGTAAATGAAGGTCTCCACTAGAAATAAAACATTTTTTAAAAATTTGTTTTCTCAGTGACCGCAATACACGTTATTTTCAATTGTACAGGTAAGTATACATAGTACAGGTATATGCAACAGGATTTCAGGAGGTACCCTACCCACAATAATTTTGTTTTGCTGATGATCAGGCAGTGCATAGTCTGAAGAAGAACAAAATCTGCCTTTAGTTGTAATCGATGAGAGATGTTAAAACAAAATGTTATCAGATTGGGATAAGCATCAAATGGTACAATAAAGCCTCTATCTGGGCCGATCCTCGGGCCAGGGAGGAGAGCTCCCCGAGAGAACAAATTTTTCCGAGTTACGAACAATCAATATGGATTTCCTCTTTCGATTTACGAAACCTAAATTTGTTGTATTTAGTAGTTTGGTAGTTAGAAATCTAACAAATCAATTTTTAGCCAACGAATAGGCACCTGATTATAAGTGCTGGATACAGTTTTAACCTGCAAATCCATTTTTTTCAGAGATATCAGAAAAGAGTTTCATAGAAGTGAGTCATCAAACATCGTAAAGTTTTCCAGTTAGAGATTTGACTGTTATGGGACTAAATTGAGTAGGTATGGTAGTCCAATTTGATGCCTAGACCAACTTCATTACCTACGGTTCGAAGTTTTTACAATAAAAATGTGGTGATTTGAAAATTCTGAAAATTGAAATTCATTGCTGAGTAAGTGCACGGCACTTAAATATAGGTTTATGAAAACCAACTTGGGACTAAACCGATAATGATATTGTTGTAATTTTACCGGGTTAAAAATAACCATATTATCATGAAAACTTTAACTTTGGGCATTGAAATTCCTTAGAGATGACTCATAAAACTTACAATTTTTCTCCTTTGCTATTGCCGTGAATAAATTATCCATTGCCAACGTTTATTTGAAATAGATATTCACTAAAAACTATAATAATTACTCTTATAAACTGTGCACCGAAATTTTTAAATAGTAATTTTTTTCTTGGCAACCGATGGTCTCCGCGCCGGCCAGACCTACATTCGCGTGTTCTATATCTAGAACCGAATAAATGTCTATCGCTCTGAACTGTACATACTCCTAGGTACCCAGCCAAAAAAAGAAAAATAAACTATTTTTTGGCTATTTATTGTTCAGGTTTAAGTACTACAATTAAATTAGATTTGAGAATAAATTGTAGGTACTTTACTGTAATAATGATGGTACAACAATTTGTGTTTAAAGTTTTCAAATTTGTATTTTATTGAAAACTATGCAGAAAATCTAATTCGATAAAATAAACTTATCAGGGTGAGTTTGGGTTAGTTGCGAGCATTGCAATACCATCAAACGGAGACTTAGCACCGTAAAAGTGGTTTTCGTAGAACCTGGCGACCCAGAGATGAACGAGAACATACAGAGTATGTACCTACAAGGAAAGATATTCATGAATCAAATGCAAAACTGCTGAAACGTAATTTATACAATAATTTAGCTTTAAAAACATTCTTATTGGGCCTAAGGGAACCATTATGTATGTAGGTACGACAATTCGTTGCATACGTCCACGACACTTTCCGCGAGTTCTACAATTTGTTACTGATGAATATAACACTCAATATTTTCAGAATTTTTCTGAACCTTATGCATAAAAAATCATACAACACAATAAAGCAAACACACAATTTAGAAACACACATTTTTACCCAGGATTTAATAGCCAAACATCTAACAATTTATTTACGGCTAAACCAACATTTCCATCCCAGCCTATTCCTGTGAAACCAAATAATAACAAAAGCCCGCAAAGATTCCCAAGTATCCAAAAATAAATCCAGCACAAACTCAACAAATGTATTTAAACCCAATCAAAATAGAACTTTCCCAAGACCAATCTCCTATGTCAACAACTTCGAGACAAACTTTTAATGACAATGCTCAACAACCTTCTAGAAATTATTTCCAGTCCAACCAACCGAGTAATTTCATAGCTGAAAAGCTATATAACACGAACGTAGCAGTTGATGATGTTAACGAACCTCATCATGTTGACACTTACGAAAGTGACTCAGAACCCCTATACTACACCTCTAAAATTCTACCGATTTAAATTTCACAACATAGGTATTCGATGGTTTATTAGGGCTTGATAATCTTAAAAGCTTACAAGCTAACATTAATTTTGATACAGGATTTCTAGTAACCCAATACACAAGAATTAAGTTGCAGTTTCATAAAACTGACACATCAATAAATAATGTTACTGTTTCTCCTCGAGTTGAGCAACTTGTGAAAATTACTAAGAATATACAAGACGGCAAGGTTATTATACTCCACCAGAGGATACATAACTGCGAAATTCCAAATTCGCTGGGTATAGCAAAAAATAGTTATGCTTTTACTAGCATTTCAAATAACACTTGTAAGCCAATAACCCTTGATATTTCACAACCATTCAATGGAGAAAAATTGGAAAACATAAATCTAAATAATTTCAAAGACTCACTTGATTGCAAACCCATTTTGATTGTTCTCAAATTCATACCGATCATCTGAAAACAGGATAAAAATCGAAAAACACCAAATTGTGTGAAGAATACTCAGATATATTTCATCAAGAAAACATGCCACTGACATTTACAAGTGAAATGAGACATTCAATTAAAACCACTGATGAACAACTTGTATAGTAAAACCTATAGATACCCTTTTATACATAAAAAAGAAGTCGAATCCCAGATGAAAAAAAGGTTGGACCAACAATCATTCGTCGTCCAAGCAACCCTCCCTGGTCATCGTCAGTTTGGATGGTTCCAATGAAAGCAGATGCTTCTGGAAAGCAGAAATAGAGAATAGTAGTAGATTTTCGTGGAGTTAATGCGGAAACCATAACAGACAAATACGTCCTATCGAATATAACCGACTTATTAGACAAATTAGGAAAATGTCAATATTTTACTACATTGGACTTGGCCAGCGGATTTCACCTTTCAACAGATACAGATGAACAAGGACGACATGGAGAAAACCTCATTCGATACGTAAAATGGCCATTACAAATTTCCGCGTATGCCATTTGAGCTGAAGAACGCCCCCGCCACTTTTCAAAGGACCATGGACAGTCTAGTACGAGGAAGGTAATGTTATAAATCCACCTCAAACATACAGACATTTTTTACAATTCCAAAAACTACAAAACAAATTAAAGGCTTTCTCGGACTACTTGGATATTATAGACGTTTTATAGATAATTTTGCAAAAGTCACAAAACCGCCCACGAAATAATTGAAAAGGCGCAAAGATTGAACACAATCAAGAATTTATCGAAAGTTTTGTTAATTGCAAAAAATTGCTTGTAAATGAACTATATACTACAATACCCTGACTTTTCGGAGCTGTGTTATCACAAGGCCCATTGGACAAGATTTGCCATTAGCCTGCGCATCTCTCACTTTGAATGATGCAGAATGCAGAACAAAATTACTCCACTATTGAAAAGGAGTGCCTGTGTCTTATCTGGGCGACGGAGTACTTCCGACCGTACCTTTACCGACAAAAATTCAATATCATAACGGACCATAAGCCCATGCAATGGCTTTTCAATTTAAAAGATCCGACATCAAAAATGATACGTTGAGAGTTTGATTATCAAATTATCAACCTGACCTCGAACCAACAGCTGAAGACGATGATGAAACTATCCATACTTATGCTAAACAAACACCCTATTGTTGGAATTCCAATTAAAGAATCTGCTGTTAACTATGAAGCAAATCAAATAATCGTCATAAAGGTCATGCACTCACCTGCCAAAATAAAACAACTAATTTTATTTGAAAAGAAGAAAAGATTTTTAGTTCAAATATCGGAATATGATTTTGAAAATGAAACAATTAATTTTATACAGGAGAACGTTGTTCCAGGTAAATTATACTATGCTTATTTTGAGAACCCGGATACATATGAACCATTCTGCGAAATGGTTAGGAAAAATTTTAAATGGCCCTTGATTAGAATGAAAAGATGTTTGAAAAAATTTATCGACATAGACAAACAAAGTATACCGGAAATAATAAAGAACTACCATGAGAGTAAGACGAAATGTACAGCTTACGCTCTAAATTCATTATCAGCCACCGAAATTATATAGCGATAATTTAATATCATTCTTTTCACATCACGGTGTTCCATCCAAAATCATTTTAGACAACGAAACTGAATTTAAAAATACGGTGGTCACAGAATTATTACAACTTCATAAAATAAAAATTCATTTTTGCTCGCCCGATCATCCCCAGTCAAACGGTGTTATTGAGAGATTACACTCCACCTTATCTGAATACGTAAGAATTCTAAATAATCGTGGCTCCCTAAAGACACCTATATCAACCAAAAAATAAAACATGCAATCCTAGCATATAATCACACCCTTAATTCGGTGACTAAATTCAAACCAATAGATGTTATTTCAGGACACATTAGCCTAAATGATCCATTTGACCTAAAGTTAGACCTACTATTTTTGACAGATTATGTCACAGAACACAGAAATAAGTCAGTCTAAGCTCTTATATTCAACCATCAATGAAAAACTTATAAATCAAAAAGAGAAATTATAGGAAAGATTAATGAAACTTCCGATAAGTCAACATTATTCCACCCAGAACAAAAAATTAGCCGAGAAGTTTACACCTCAGACACAAGTTGAAACCGTTGACCCAGTACGCAAAACAATAGCAACGACCTCACACGGGAAGGTACACATGGGGATTATTAAACATCCCCTGAGAAAAAAATAGCTATTTACCTAACAAGTGCGGAAAATTAATTTTTCCGCATGAGTCTGCCGTTCACCGAACGACGCGTAGCGAAGTTCCGTGAAGCAGCCGAGTGCGGAAAAAATAATTTCCGCAAGTGTCAGGTAGAATAGTTTTTCTACAGACGTGCGGAAATAAGTATATCTACATAATTTGTAGTAATTTATTAATTTTTTTTTTTGACAGCCCTGCGGAAAAAAA